TTCATTTTTTTTACATTTTATTTATTTATTTTAGAGTGAATCAACAGCTACATTATACAAATTTAGCAGAAAAGTACAATTAATTACAACAATGTAACCATAATAGTTAGGAATCATTAAAATCTGATGAAACCCAATTCATCGAAATGAAATGATAAATACTTGCAGGTACGGACACCAGCGTATGTTTGGTTCGCTGGGTTGGGGGCTGGCCATGTTCTTCGTGGGCATCGCACTGGACCACAGCACGGCCTTCAGCTCGCACCCGTGCGGCGGCCCGCAGCGCTTCGAGAAGAACTACACCATCTGCTTCGCAACGTTCTCAGTGCTGATGGGTGCCGCGCTTATCACCGCCACGCAGGTACGTCACGCGCGCCATGGACTCCGACTCGCCTGCCTCGGAGAGCGGCGTGAGACACGTGTGGCCGCCTGTTGCAGATACGGTTCAAGTACGAGTTCGTGAGCGTGGAGGCGGCGGCGCCGCCCGCGCCCGTCGAGCCCACGCACGAGGAGAAGCTGCAGCAACAACTGGCGGAGCAGCTGCAGCTGCCGGGGCTGGACACCAGCGCGCCCGCGCCGCGCCAGCCCGTGCTCGAGCAGGCCAAGGTACGGGGGCCGCGCTGACCGGGGTAGGCCGGGGCCAGGCCGGCCCGAGCCCCGCTGACCCGCTTGTGGCCGCAGGTGTTCGCGCAGACGACGCGCGAGATGCCGGAGTGGGTGACGGTGCTGCGCCAGTTCCAGAACGTGAAGGCGGCCTCGTTCCTGTTCGTGGCCTGGTTCATGGGCTTCGGCATCGGTCTGATCTTCACCTTCCTCTTCTGGCACTTGCAAGTTTGTACCACCTCAGTTGTCTTATCAAAATCAATTAAATTGATACTCAGTAGTACCACAGTACATTATTTATCTGTGCATTATGCGTGCAAGCAGACACTTTAACAATATTTGTAAGGAATATGACCTCGTCCGTTTACAACTAGTCTCAACTCCGGAAAAAAATTGAAGCCTCAATTTTTTTTAGCAGCAATAGATATTTAGTTCTTTTTATTGTTTCTCTTGGTCTGTTTATAATCATATTGTCTGCACGGTCTGTTTCAATATTTCACTTTTTCATTTACGAAGAATGTATGTATTTTTATTATTGTATAGTAGGTGCTCACACCATATTAATTAATTTATTCCAAATCCTAAACGTGAGGACTTGTCGTTGGCTCGTTGTTACCTACGCCTATTGTTATTTTTATCCATTTTTGTAAGCTGTAAGTCGTCCATGAATTATTAATGAAATAAAAAAATGTTACGTGATATTATTAAATTCAATGTAAAATAATAAAAGTCGATTCTGAAGAAACTGGTTGCAGTCGTATTATGCCGTCACTTATATTGTGCAAATGTTAAGTAGAGGGAGCTAGTGAACCACTGACGGCGTGAACTGTTGTAGGATATCGGCGGGTCTCCGACACTCTTTGGCGTGGCGTCCGTCATCAACCACATCTCGGAGATATTCGCCTACTTCTTCAGCTTCAAGTTGATCACGCAGATGGGACACGTGAAGGTAGGCCCTCTCCCTGCCTCCTGTAGTACTATCTGGGCACCCTGTCGTTGCCTAAACGTACGTACGTATCCACATTCCACCCAAAACAAGTCCCATGTAATGTGGCGCCTGGCGGGCAGGTGCTGTGCCTGGGCCTGGCGGGCAACGTGCTGCGCTTCCTGTACATCGCGTGGCTGAGCGACCCCTGGTGGGTGCTGCCCTTCGAGTTCGTGCAGGGCGTGACGCACGCCGCCGTGTGGGCCGCGTGCTGCTCCTACATCGCGCACGGCGCGCCGCCACGCCTGCGCTCGTCGGCGCAGGGCGTGCTGCAGGGCCTGCACCACGGCCTGGGCCGCGGCTGCGGCGCCGTGCTGGGCGGCGTGGCCGTGGCCAAGTGGGGCACCACGCGCACCTTCGCGGGCTACGGCCTGCTGTGCACCGTGGTGCTGGCCGCCTTCGCCTTCGTGAACTTCCGCGGCGAGCCGGAGGCGGCGGGCGGCGCGCCGGACGACGAGGCGCGCGCCGTGGCCGAGGCGGGCGTGCTGGCGCCACACGGCGTGCCGTCCAACCCGCTGCCGCGCGCGCTGTCGTCCACGCGCCTGGCCGACCTGGCGCACCACGACTCGTACGGCGCCACGCAGGTAGGCCCGGCCGCGCGCGCGCCGCGCTCCTGCCGCGCGCGCGCAGGTACTGACGCTGTGTCCGCTTGCAGAGCTACAGCGGGGCGGAGTCGCTGAGCGTGCCGGGCCAGGCGGCGGCGCCGCGGCCCTCGAACCCGTTCCTGGCGGAGCAGGCGGCGGCGCCGGCCTACAGATAGGCGCCGGAGCCGGCCCGTGTCCTATGTACAAAGTCGCCGAGGAGCAGCCCCGCGCACTCGCCCTGCTCTGTATATTGATATCGCTGCTTCTGTGTGCTCAGCGCTCTCTCGCTGTAGTCAGTCGGGGTGTCTGTGTGTATTACTGTAATTACTGGTATATATGTATATTTATAAGGTGGAACGCGATGTCATATCAAGGTGTGATGTAGTCGAGGGCAGAGGTAATTCACTTCTGAAGTATTATTTTGTTGATAATGTAACAGATAGATATTCTTATTACGAAGCTATATGTATACAATTGAAGTTTGTTGTGAGGATGTGCTCCTGCACCGGTTATATATTTTTGCACAGTCTGTAGCGGGGAGTGCCAACACTTTCCATTTCATGTGTATAATGAATAAATAAATGTTGAACTATTCACCATTGTGCATCATTTCTCTACAGTTCAATACTACTGTACATCATTCCTATCCTAATATTACTATCGGGAGGTACCTGTGTCTGATAGGGCGGGAGGAATCGCCCGGTCGTCATCACTGCGAGGACCGCCCTGAGGACACTGTGACATGCCCTAATTTATTTGAAAAAATTAACAAATGCGCTAGTCGGCCCTATATTTTTTAAAAGTTCCCCTCGGTTTCCCTGGGATTCCATCATCAGATCCTGACTTCATGACAATGGGACCAAATGACAAACATACCCTTCCAAACAAAAAAAGAATTTTCGAAATCAGTCCAGGCGTCTTCGAGTAATCGAGTAACAAACATAAAAAAACAGTCGAATTGAGAACCTCCTCCTTTTTTTACCAAGGGGTTTCGGGTTCGATTCCCGGGTTGGGTAAAGAATTATTAGTCTTAGAGGAAAATCTCTCTCAGGACAGACACGAGGACGGAGCAGTGCTGTGTGCTGTGGAGCCGTTCACTTCCGCGTTGGCGCTCGGACGAGACGGTTGTGTGGTTGTGCTCTCAAGTGCTATTTTGTAATATTGGTGACCATTAACTTAATTTGATAAGACGTTTGTAAGACTAGGTTATTAAAAAAGATCTCAGTAACAGCACGGAGTTTGGAAATGTGCCATGTATATGGGCTATAGATAGTGAAAATCATAATATAAATAGTGAAAAGTGGGTGCCATATTGTACAGTGGCATAAAGTGAAGTAATTTGCACCTCAGCCTACCTTCGAGGCTAGAAGGCTTGTGATGTATTATGTTATTGTAGAAATACTACATACAGACACTCGTAGTGCATTCGTAGCCCGTAGCAGTGTTTTCCACTGCCTAAATAGTGAAAAGTGGGTGTTACATTGTACTGTGGCATAATGTACACCTCTGCCTACCCCTTCAGGGATAAAAGGCGTGATGTTATGTATGTATGTATGTAATCTCGTAGGCGTGTAAGCCGTGACCTCAACTGGCTACGAGCTGTCGAGCTGAGCACTACAAACAACGAGCACGGCGCTACACAGTACGCAGAACGAAATGCAAACCACGCTCCACGACGGAGGTGCTACAATACGAGCCACGTGCTTCGACCTACTACCAGCGACGCGGTACGAACTGTGACCTACCTGCTACGAGCTACGCGCAACGAACTTCGTGCTACGAGTTACACACAACGAGCTACGCCATAGTATAAAGAACATTCTTTATACTATGGCTACGCCGGGCGGCGCGGCGATGCCCGACTACGAAACACGCTCTACGAACTACGTTCTATAATTATGCTACGAGGTCCAAACTACGCACTATTAGCTACGGCTGTAGTAATTCACCGCAATTTATTTTAGTGCACAATTAGGGCCTATGAATTTAGGGTTGCCAACACCTACATGGTCTTGGCAACATTTCGTATGTAAATGTTTTTATTGTATTGTTATTACTCACCCACTATTACAAGGGACTCAATAACATTAATAGCGAAAAATGGGTGTTACATTGTACAGTGGCATAATATACACATCTGCCTACCCCTTCGGGGATAAAAGGCGTGATGTTATGTTACGTATTACAAACAGCGTGTGTCATAACATAAATATGAAATAATATGTTCAGTATGCAACAGTACACGATGTTACAAATGCATTGTTTCCGGGGCTCCGGTTTGAAACACAAGCAGAGACAATTAGTCTGACCCTGTCCCCTCACCGAAGGAGGGCGGAGGCATTTGATGATTGCCTTCGGGTGAGCTTATTGTCATACTGGACAACAACAATTCAGATGTTATTATGCCAATTATGAAAATACCGTAATTATGCCAATAATAATACTTTACACTACCCAGGAACCTATTCACACGCCATTTGCTCTGGAATCGAACTTGCGACCACGCGACTAACGAAGCAGTCGACGTATATTTCTCGTACAGTGTATACATAATAAAGTTTGGCAACTGGTCTGATATTGGTCCGGTAGATGGCGCCAGGCGTTAACTTTACAGAACCTTTCGTTCGCAACTCGGAGAGGTAATCCAAAAGACCAGAAATATTATTTCATACATTGTTGCAGACGAACTTACAAGTGACACATTGCACTAATATAACACGTTGATACAGTATAAATAAATGGATTTTATTAAATATTATTGTTTTAGATTGTACTTAAATTATATTAAATGCAAATAATTACATTCTTAGTACCAACATAACACTAAATCAGACACATAAGTTCGAGTTCAGGGTCACTCCACAGTGTAAATGTGGCACTGCGAGACGAGGGCGCGGCCGCGTAGCCAGGGGGCGCGCCGCGACGCCGCGGTCAGGGCGCGGGGGCACGGGGGCGCGGGGGCGCGCCGTTAGCCCAGCACGACGATGCGGCCGTTGCGATAGGCGGTGCGCGGCATCTTCTGGTAGCCGTAGCCGGACGCACTGCGGACGGACGTCACAAACACTCAAAAGGGGGCGATTGGAGCTCTCTTCACCGGTTTCTCTCTATAATAAATCTTGAGTACGAAGGTAACACAAGAGGCGGCGACGTGGCCCGCCCGCCGGCCACGCCAGCGAGCCCACCCGCTGCAAATACACAAGGACCGGTGCTACAGGTCGTACAGGTCGCGCAGTCCAGCCACTTACTCGGTACCGGTAGTACCTACAGCTACCGTTGCCGGAGTAGCGATAGCTAGTAACTCATGGTGAGTGCGACGAGAGTGGGTACCTGTTGTAGGAGGGCGGGCGCGGCTGCAGCGACAGCTCGGCGTCGGACGCGGAGCGCGCGGAGGCGCGGGGGGAGCGGGGCGCGCGCGCCGCTAGCAGCGCGGCCGCGGCGCCCAGCACCTGCAGCACCGGCAGCAGCACGCCCAGCACCAGCGCCACGTACGCGTTGCGCGGCGCGTCCTCGCTCGCCTCCTGCAGCAGAGCACGCGGTTACTTCGCCGCTCGTGGAGTGGTTACATTTAGATTGCGTACGGTACGCAGTAGGGCGCGCGCACCTGTATGAGCTGGTCGACGCGGTGCGGCAGCGGGTGCCAGCGCGCCATGTAGTCGAGCAGAGGCCGCAGGTGGTCGCTGAGCTCCAGCGCCTCGGCCAGCTGCCGCGCCGCCTCCGACTGCTGCCAGGCCAGCACCTGCAGCGCCAGCCACGCACAGAAGGCCACCTCGCCCAGCACCAGCATCGTCATTAGCGCCGCGTACTGCGCACACACACGCTACAACTAGGAGGCCGTCCGCCGCCCGCAATGTATACATTATTGCTTATTGCACGTAACCTAAACGATTGACTCTACGCGTCATACCAGTCGCGCACAGTTGTCACCTGTGACGGGTGACTGATGGCACGGACAACAAAGTTTGGGATTTGGTCCAAAGTGACACATTTTAATTTACTTAAACATATATGACAGTACAACACATACTGGAGCACTACTCGGGATAACATGCTAAAGTTGTATACCTATATATAGTTAGGTACATTGCTTCAAGGCTGCTCCTACCTGCTCGAAAGAAACATCCGCGCGAGCGAAACTACAGATTATTGTGCTTATAGCGCAGCAGTCTATAAGAGACCAGCCAACAACTGCATGTACTACTTTGTGAGCACGCACGAGATATCAAACTGCAAGCTTGTGTACACTGGGTCACCGCACAGTGAGCACAGCGAGCTCGGCGAGCCACCGACCACATAGAGCAGCAGAGCGCGGCGCGCGCGCGCGATGTGGGCCGCCGCCGCCGCCAGGTGCGGCAGCGCCAGCAGCGCCGCGCCGCCCGCCGTCAGCACGGCGCAGGCCGCGCGGTACTCCGCCGGGAACAGCTCGCGCAGCGGCAGGTACGTGCTGGGGTCCCACTTGAGTCGCGCCGCCGTCGCCAGCGCCGCGCCGCCGTACAGCTGCACAGACAAGGGCCGTGAGCTGGCGCCGCGCGGGCCGCCGCCGGCTCGCGGAGCGCCACTCACGGTAAGCAGGAGGTTGACGTGCGCCAGCAGCACGGGCGCGACGCGCCGGCACATGGCTCCGGTCGGTGCTGCGCGGGGCCGCTCGGTACTGACTATAGCACGCTCGCGCGGCTTATCTTATCACTGATATCTGCGCGGGCCGCCGCCCGACACGACGCTCGCCACTTGTTGTTCTATTTTCTTGATACTGTCGTAGGTAGGTATATATAACCATTAATCACCGAACAATGCATCATCGCCGAACATTGATAGCGCTTCCAATCATTGATGACTTATTTATGTTTTATCTAATTTACCTGTAACCTGTAATGCTCACATCTATTTACAGTCAAACGATTTTAACGTAGGTAATCAAATCAACAATACAAAGGTAGGCAATATTTACGAAGGGGATGGTGATGTAGGTCGGTGCGCGGCGCGGTGTTAGAACAACAGAGCTGAAGTGACTGCGACAGCCGCTGCAATCTGTAGATAAGCCTCGGCAGCGCCACGCGTCCACAACAATATCGTTGATAACTTGCCTATCAAGAATTCGGAAATTGGATCATTTACGAACCTTGTACAAATTAAATTGTTCCTATCATAGCGGCATCGGGGTGTTTCTGCCAAACATACTTGTTTACTTTATGTTATGTATAGAGGTAGTTAGGTACACGTAGAGACGAACACCTACCTATTTTAGACAAATGGCAATGTTTATTGGTTGAAAACATACTGCTCCCTACTGGAAAAATATATATTGGAGAAGCGTTCGTAACCATGCCTACGACGATTGCTGCCCAGCTCCTTAATCGTAAGTCATGACGATAGATTGCTTTATTTTAAATTCTACCTCAATTGCACAGTGACATGATCATCGGTATGCTTACCAAATAGTTCTTAGTTTTATTATAGAGGGCGTTGGTTTGTTACTTTTTAGTAGACACTAATTCATATGTTTGGAATGTGACACTTGTTAGTATTGGTGAGACAAAAACAGTTAGGGACGCGATGCTTGCAAAGAGAAAGCGGTTTTTTTAGGGACGCTATAGGATAGGACCCTGGCGATACGGGGAAGGGGCAGGCAAACATTCCTTTGTGGGACGTCGTTACACGATCACGCTCATCTCATAAGATCATTCTAAATGTCAAAAACAAGCGTACCTAATATTACCATCTTTTGTAATAAGCTTAGTGTACGAGCTGTTTGCCCGTACACAGAAATGTGTTTGTTGTGTGTAGTATGTTGTCAACGAAGACGGGATGTTCACAGAAATAAAATTACTGTTTTTGTATCCGTTCTCGAAGAGAGTATTTATTGTACTACATTAGTTAATTAGTGTGGCTATAAATAACATAAATTTGTTAGTAGGTTGCGTCATGAATGCGCCAATAACGCGCATTCGGCAAAATGTTAGTATAGCAGAATAAGTTAAAAAGTAAAACAATTGAAATCATGTGGCGATGCTCGTACATCCTACCAACCACAAAAAATAAAGAAATTAACCCTTTACACTTATAAATTATACAAATCAAAAGTAAGATAAATAACTTAAACTGATTATTGTTCCCCGCTGAATGGGATAGGAGATGTTCCATTGTCAATCCTGTTGATGATTCTGGGACATGCCTGAAGTCGGGGTCCAGTGATTTGATTTGTTGTCGGTTCGTTTCCTTCCGGTCTCGAGATCTTGGAGTCTTCCACAGTTACCATCTCAATATCTTCCTTGTGTCTTGAAGGGCGGACCTTGGTTGTTGAATTTTGACAGACACAAATTCTTTTCACCTTGTAGACTGCCCATATGCAGAAAACAATTCCACATATTGAAATAAAACCATAGAGTACGTAATGATGTTGTTCTGCATCTGTTGATTTTATGGTTTGTATACTCTGTTGTTCCTTGATCTGTTCTATTTTTCTCTTTATATTGTTAAATTGTTCTTCGTGTGTCTCGATCTTGAAGTCCGTGTAGTTTCCAATGTTGTTGTTACTAGTAAGTAAATAATTTATGTTTGTTTCTGGTATATAGATGTCTTCCTCATTTCCTATTTCCAACGTACTTTGCAGATTGTAGTGTGAGTGAATCAGATGGTTGTCACCGCGCATCATGCATCCTGTCGCTAAGGTGATCATTCCTGTGTTACGTAGAGTCTGTGACGTAATCCCAGCTGGACAAAAAATGCGCATAGTGCATTCCTCGCAACACGTGTACAGCCAAGCGTCCTTGCTGTGTAGCTTAAACCATTTATTAGTGCAACTTGATACCTCTGTGTGACAACTGGATACTCCACGATTGTTTATAATGTCCGCTTCGCATATGTTTGTTGTTGTTTTTATTTCATATATGGGTAAATCAAAGTTACATAACAGCTGATACGTGTTATCTTCTATGCATGATTGTATTTGATGTTCATTTAAAGGTATCATCAGATCCTTTTTTAAATTTACAGCTATGTATTTCGTAGTTGGCATTATGTTGATCATTGAAGCTCCCTTTATGTTGTAAATTGGTATAACTTCCGTTAATTCGTATTGTTCGTCTGTTATTAAGGGGATTTTGACTTCAAAAATAAGGAAGTTATCGATTAGTTTTCCATGAACTCTAGATAATTTGTACAACCGTCTGATGCATTTAAGATTGTTAGTGCAGGGTAGTGATAATCCTTTAGGCACTTGTGCTGATATAATATTGAGCTCCCTTTCAAATGCATCAGGTTTTAACAAGTGTGTGTCGACTCGTCCGTTGCGAAGATCTGTAACCAGGTCCATCAGAGTGTCTTGTATTCTTCGTAAGTTTGCAACCATCATATTCGCAGCAAGTGCAGTTGCAGTAATGAATGTTAAATGATCTTGTTCAGTGTTGAGTCGGTTTACTGATTCACTTAATCGTTTGTTGATAAGTTTGAATTGTCTATTCATTACTTGTTCGTTTCGTTTTAGCAGATTGTATTCTCCTTCAATGACCGAAGTATGGTTTTTGAACAGAGTCAGTAGGTGATCTTCATTGCTCTGAATCAACTTAATGTCTTCATGGTATTTTTCGGCGAATTTGTCATCTAAGACACCGAAGAGGTAACTAGCAGCGTTACCAATTCCATTTATGAGGCCTCGCCTGTTACGTTTTCCATGTTCAGATAACAGCACTGTATGGTAATGTCGCAGTTCGTTTAGTTCGTGCTCAAATTGTGTGGAGATAGCAAAATAGGCCAAATTTTTGTGATCAAATGATTGCAGTTGCTTAACATACTGTTCTACAGCAGATACACTTGTCCAGTACGTTGACATGTTGTAATAAATCACCAGTTTCCATTCATCTTGTATTATTTGTAAGTCTGCGATTTTGTCAAAGTATAGCAGACGAGATGGATCGAGAGATGTAACATTAACTGATTGCTGTGCGGATGGGGTGACACAAATAATCATGAAAAGTAGCAACGAACTCAAGCAACTCATGACGACACCTTTCTTTGGTATCGAAGATTTCTGTCGACGTCGAAGCGGTCGTGACATCTCCTTTTGTTTATTGATGGTATCCTGTATCGGCGTGTCCTGTGTTTGACTCTTTGTGTCAATGGGAAGTCGAGATAACTTTGTTATAGGTCTTTTTATAACGTTAGTTTTCGTTTTCACTGTGACGACTCGTACTAAGTCGTCAGCTCCAGGATGTGTTTCTATTACACGTCCAAGTAACCATCTGGCGGGCGGCGCATGTTCTTCTTTGATAAGGACAACATCACCCACTGCGATGTTTTGTGTAGGAGTTTGCCATTTTCCTCTCAACTGTAATGTTTGTAGATAGTCGTTTGACCATTTCTTCCAGAACCCTTTAAACATGTTTTCTGTGAGACGCCATCGTATAGTGAGGCTGGTGTTATCAATTTCTGTCGGCACAGGAGGGGCGAGAACCGGACCGCCGACTAAAAAGTGTCCAGGTGACAAATAATCGATGTCGTCGGCATCATTTGTTAAAGCGACGAGTGGTCTTGAGTTGAGGCAGGCTTCTATCTGTACCAGTAAAGTGGTGAACTCTTCGTATGTTAACTTTTGTTCACCAAGAACACGTTTAAGATGGTGTTTCATGCTCTTTACTGCAGCTTCCCAGAGACCCCCCGCTGTTGGCCAGCTTGGGGCATTAAAATGCCATTCAATTCCATACTCGGAAATGTTGTTGATGAGGTCGTCGTTTACTATAAGTTGAAGTGCCTGTTGGCGTTCCTTTGCTAGTGCCTTTGCTGCGCCGACAAAGTTTGTTCCATTGTCGCTATAGACATGTTTCGGAGTCCCACGCCGAGCACACAGTCGTTTCAAGGCTGCTAG